AGAGTTTCTAACCTGAGGACCAGCAGAATCAGAGAATTAATGCACTACAAAGATGCACAGAACATGCAGAGAGCAGTCCAATACCCAAAGATGCCTTTGAACAGCTTCAGAAGTTTTCCTATTTTAGTCAGTCTCTTTTTACAGCTTCGTTATATTAGCAACTCACAGTCATTCTCTGATGGCCTGTCCCTGAAGTTTGTGGCAAAAGTTCAACACACATGACTTCATTTTGAGCTATTCTACTTTCTACCCTTTTTTTCATTCCAGTTACTAAATCCATCTCATTTCCCCCTCCCCATGATGATTTGGTTCTTTTCAATGCTTCCAAATTTCTGTCATCCACTATTTTAAAGTACACACTCCTAGGCCATGCATTTACTTTAATATTTAGTTTATTAAAACAGGATTGACCTTAATAAATGATGTTAAACATATCAAGAATCCAGAGCTCTGTGACAATCCTGTGCAAGAGATTACAGTTCTAAGCAACAGAAGCGTGACATCTACCTTAACCTGTCCTGCTTCTCTAAAATGGGTAGAAAGCAAAAAATAGTATCATTTGCACTTACACATCCTTATAGCAATTTTATCTCCTTATCTAAAGAAACTTATCTATCTTAGGGTAATGTAGCAAAAAGGTTGGTTTAAAATCAGATGAATCCCCCATTCGGTGCACAGCACATGAATGCATACTCCAGCACACAAGGAGGAGTTGTGAGGGAAGAAACAAATGGTCAAGTAGGAAAGACTCGCTCTTCTGCTCACAGTATTGGCTAAAAGCACAGTGACAAGTCCATGCAGATATTACAATGAAATTCTAGTTTGTTTTAGGTTATGAAGGTGCACATAGATGTCTGTAACAGTTATTTCCAGCCCTAAGGCATCTATGAATCCTGTCTTCAGAAGTTTTGAAGCCTAGAGCTGCATACTATAAACTTTGAGCTCTCTGTAATTCCTGAGAAGCATCAGCTCCTCAGATGAGTAAGTACCTTCAGTACACTGAAAGGACTTCCGTCACAGTATTCACAGAACACTCATTCACTTTTTAATGAAGCAAGCAAACAAAAAACGTTCCAAAATTTACTTCAACAGCACAAAATCAAGTGTGATTTCTGAAATACCATACTTGTGGCTTAACACTTCTAAGAGATTTTAATAGGTTTTTTTTTAAAAAAATACATTCAAAAAATGTACACTCTCAGCTTCATTAAGAAAACATGTCCTGCTTCCAACATGCATTTGTATGACTCAGTAATACTCACGTGTACTTTAGGTGTGGGAGGAAGGCCATTACTAATTGGTTTCTAGAAAATAAGTTAAAAAGTATGTTTACACTCACATGCGCATGAACATGCATATTCTCTCCCTCCACTACAGCATAACCAAAATAAGAGTCTAAAATTTTTTTTTTTTAGACGGCTATTAAAAGCACTTGACAAATAATTGAGCATAATTATGTTAGGAGAAAACAAAAGTCCAATACTTATATCCACAAACCCCTCCCTTATATCCACAAACCCCTCTCCTTAATACAATGGAGTTGTGTTGTATATTTCTACACTAAATGGAAGGCACTAGGACACCTCCTGGGACACTCCGCTGTGTCCAGTGCCACATATACTGGATCTGAAAGCCATGGCTGAGGTTTGGCTACAGTCCTATTTTTAAGCACGAGGTTAGGCTAGAGACCTCTCTTCTAACCGACACTTCCATAATTCAGTGTATGAGTTTGCTAATGATGGGTCTTTAATGACCACACACCACAAAACTACCAGTATAATTTTCTTTCATTAAAACCTCTATTATGATTCCCTAATATCTCCTCATTGAATGTCTGCATAGTCTATTGCACAACATTTTCATGTTACGGTGATGCCTGAAAGAACACCATATCCAGCAATACAAAGTTTAAGCAATATTGCAGCAATTGTTCAATATTACAAGCAGCATTAAACTATCAATCAGTACTAGACCCACTTTCCTGTATCAGTGTCAATTTATCCTAGTAAAAACACGCTTCTGATGAAATGTATTTTACAGGTGACACAGGAAACTTCAAATACACAATTTCAAATGCCAAGTTCAAAGAAGTTCAGGAGATCATACTTTCCAAAGTATTGCCAGTATTACTGGCACTTCCTGAAAACAAAACTGCACACAATGTTTCTGCTCCCTTTCCTCATCACTTTCCTCAAAAAGAGACACATTTCCAACATCATCCTTAGAAGAAGTCCCCAAAGAATGCAGTTTCATGTCACATTTAATTTGTTCTAACTACAGATGTTCCACTCTCTCCTATCTTGCATTCCCGCTTTTGCACCATAATAACAGAATGACCACTCTGGAAGACATTTGCTGCTTTGATGGAAAAACTCACTTGGAAGAGGAGAATGGGATGCAGGAATATTCCCTTTCCTCAGCTCACAGCTGGATCAGATTTCACGTGGTTTAAAACTGCATTCCCTCCACAAGTGCAACTTCATGTGAATATATGCAGCTCCAGTCTGACACTAAACTCAAGCTGCTAAACCCTGAAATCCAGAGCTCCAGAGGCCAGCAGGAAAGCAGCCTGCGTATCTGGACCCTCAATCTATTTTTCTCCATCTTTTTTGCCCCTGAACACCAAAAAGCCTGTAAGCCCTATGTCTGGGATAGCAGTACTCATCTGTCAACAGCCCTGATTCAGGTCCTTTCTCAGGGCCAGCCAATGCTCCAGCAAGCCATCAGGTGGCAGCATATTCCTTAATTTCCTAATTTGCTTAAATAGTCATTGCTCAGTACATTACATCTCTCTTGCAGGATCTCACTCTCACTACATGTGTCTCACATATGTGAAACACAAGAAAGTAAATCTTGTATATGCACGATTATGTTAGTTTCTAATGAAAGTTAAATACAGAATCAAACTTCAGCTTAAGACTGTATCACAACCAGACTATCTAGCAAAACTGTGCTTTAATTCAAAGTAAACAAGACACCATACAGCATCATCTTTATACCAAAGAGTGTACCTGCTCCTTTTCACTGCGCATGTAAACAGCTGAAACAACTTGAAAATAACACCCAGAAGTTTAAATACATACCAGTATTTCCTTCTTTTCTTTCCTTGAAAAATTAGTGTCTCTAGCTTCATTCTGTTGATGCGGTGATCCCTCTCTTTCACCATTTAATTGTACAGAAGCGACTCCATTACCTAGAAAGATTCATATTTAAAAATGTATTCTTCTACCTTCAACTCAAAGAGTAGTCTGGCCTAAAAACAATTTTGAAGGGCCAAAATTTCCACTTATGTCAGAACATGTTCCAATACCCTAATTTATTTCTTAAGTATACATGTTCCTACATGTGCACATATAACCATCTATATACAGCCATGCTCAATCTCCATCCATGGCTCATGGTAATTAATATAACAAATCTACTGTGGGCATAGAAAGGGATGCAGTCACAGTGATGAGGAAAAATATATTTAACGTATCTAAAGAAAAACTTGGCTATAGCTAACACTTCAATTATCAATTCTTTATAAATCGCCTTGAGCCATTTCTTAGCACTGGATGCTTAAGCGTTACAGTCAAATCTGTAACACACAAACCGCAGTGCTAAATACATAGCAAGGAAGAACTAGCAAGATATCAATTAAGAGCCATGACATTAAGCTTGCTTAAAACAAGCCAGTCCAAGACAACTCTCCAAGCATCAGGCTTTAACAAAAGCATAAAAGGAACAGCTTGAACAAACAGTAAATAAACACAATTACCTGCTATACTACCCAACCCAGTGCATTACATATAAAAGCCAACTTTGAAAGCAAAACTCTATTCTTGACATGTCAAACGACAACAGTTGACACGCAGAGCCAGAATCTGAAGCCTACATACAGGAAAACTTTTTTATTCCCTGTGATAATCCTGATACACTACATTATAAGTCTGTTGCTTAGAAAAGCAACTGTGTCACCAATACATTTGACCCTCTTAAGAGTTTAAGCATGCTTTCTTTGTGCATTTTGGCTTTCATGCACTTTGTTACTTGCCCACCATGGAAAAATTACCACAGTATGTTTTAATGTATGCATAGGTGAGGACATTGGAAGAAAATTACATTAGATTATTTAAGAAATATTTGTATACTTGGTGTCAACTCTTATTACCTAAAGCATTAGATTTCTGTGGAGGTAATCGAGGAGGTGGAGGTCTGGGCGGAACCTGAGATGCAGATTTTGCTGGACTCTCTGATGTTGGGCATCTCTTGATTGTCCCTTGATTATCATTTTCAGAAGAATGAGTTTCTTGGGGGATAAAGATGGATTTAGGCTGAAAAAGGCATAGTAATAACAAAAACATAATGAAAAACCATTCAAAGCATCCATGCTACTTCTCAGTGAGGAAAAAAAAACAAACACAAACACGTGCAATATTTGGATCCTGGAATTTTCACAAGTAAATTGATTAAGCAACATGTTCTGCCATGCAACTCTTTCAGAAAACAAACTATAAGGAAATGCACAGTGATAAGGAAAATCTTATTATTGACAAAGGATGAATTCAAAATCATTATATTCAAGTCATGCATTAAACAATTATTGGACATGTGGAAATGTCACTGTTTATGACTACAGATAACCAAACCAGACATTTAAGTAGAAACTAGGGAACATTCAATAATACAGCCACGAATCCCAAATAGGGAATGTAAAGAATCCCAAATAGGGAATGTAACCACAAATGGCAATGTGGTTTAGACACTGGCTGCACTAACACTGCTTGTAAAATCCTTCTCAGTTATGCACAGATAACGTTAGCGCGGGAGGGTAAGTAATCAAACCTGCAGTTTTTGCCTGGAAAACTGACAGCCAGACAAAAAAAGTAAGATTTTTTTCTTTTTATTTTTGCTCATATTAAGATAACTTCAGTGTGAAAAGATTCAAAACCTAATCTGATCCAGGCATGCCTCTGAAGATCACCATTCAGACACCAAAAGTTAGCAAGCAGATGCTTTGTTTGGCAGCTCTTTATTAAAAATTACTTGTGGCACTGAATTTTTTAACTATCCAATTTATTTCTTCCTAAGTATTGGAAGTGCAATTAGTCAGAAATGGCACTTTCACACTGACAAATACCCTACAGCACAAGACTTCATGCAGGTTTGCAATTAAAGGCTTAGAACATACAGGTCAACCCTGTGGACTTAAATCTTTTTGATTCGAGTCTTCAAGCCATAGTTCAAGTGAGAGGACCATCAGTACAGTCATTTAGACGCTCCTGCATTTATTTGTTTATTTAATGTGCCCTTTTATTCTGGGCAATAAAATCCCCCTCTCTTACCTTTGGTGGTAAAGGAGGTGGCACTTTAGGTTTCATAGTAGCACTATAAAGAAACAAAACAGATTATTACCCAGTGTAGCTCTTTGAACCTCATATTGCAGTGTTCAAGAAGACACAGGATTTTATAGATGCCATACAAATAAACACCATTAACTTGTCAACAGCACTGTTCTATCCAAATAACTGCATCATGAATACTTTCAAAGATTTTGTTATTGCTGTGCATACCACAGATATTATCCAAAGCCACAAGTATCACAGATCCTCCCTAGACAGCACAAAGTGACATGAACTGATCTGTTGAAGGTACACATATATGTGCAGAAAAATGTAGAGATGAAGAGCAGGCCTGATATTTACTCTGTTGAGAGGAGAAAGATTTAGGATACCAGTGAGGTTTTCTAAAGGGCCATCTGTAGGTACATAGGGCAAAGGGGAGTTACAAGAAAACTGATGAATACCATTCCTTGAAAATTTACCAGTGCCTTCTTCAGAACAGCCCTACACACGAAAGCAAAATCCATCTGCAATGGACAGCTAGCCTACTGTCCGGATTGTTTGGGGTTTTGGGGGTTTTTTTTTTTTTAGTTTCTTTTTTCACAGAAATCTTGGGAAAGACAACTTTTTAACACAAGAAGAATTCAATAGCTTGACTCAACAGTACAAGATACCAGCAGGAAACAAAAAAAAGCTGAAGCATCAGGAGCATTCTTCCTCTGCTGGTTCTGTGTTTCAAAGAATATGCTGTATTTAGTAAAAAATCCTAAATTCCTAATTTTTTAATGTTTTAAAAAACTCTTACACTGTCCGGTTTCCTAATCTTTTGGAACAGAAAATTCTCTCCACTAAATAAATTAGGAATACAGCTGTGAAAACTTGACATTCTTGCACAATATTTTCCTTATTTTTAAATTACTTTCCAAAAGTCCTGGGAAAATGTCCAAGTAGTAAGATATCTGTTTGCTTGTTTACAGATCAACAACTTGTCTGCTTTGCTTCAATCTTTTCAGGAGTTTCTGTTCTGGCATCTTATCAGTTGCTTTTATTTCAGAGAAGTTAGAAAGGGACTTCTGAGAATGGGTTACCCTGTGTCATGCACTTCAGCTCCTATGATTGTGGAAACTATCTTCTCTTCATAACATGGGACCAAGCTTAAGTCCTCAGTGTTCAAGCTCCATTTATATTTTCTTTCATATTCTTCCCTGCATCTCAGACAGCCATGACAGTGTTACTGGGCAGCCAAGTGTAAAAACCAAAAAAGCCAACAATTTGGCATAAATGTGACAGACGTTTGTATAAAGGACTGCGTGCCCCGATTTCAACAGCAATGTTTATGTGCAGTTTGTCACCGCTGATCATGCAGTGCCCCACTAATTTCTGCTTTCCCAGCTTCCATAACCTGGAATTTCAAGCATCATCATCTTTGCTGTACATGAGAGAAAAACAAGTAACAAACCAAATAAAAATTATTAAATGAAGAGAATAATTTTATATTGTTCCCTGAAGCATGTGGATTCTCTGCTGCTATGAAGCACCCAGCTTCAGTCATGGACTGGAAGGTATACTTGCTTCATTGTTCATACATGCTTCATTGTTTTTGTTCTGGATCTGAAGGGAGAAGACCAACATCACATGTGCTCTTCAACTGCAGCTCCATCTCACAGAAGATAAATCAAACAAAAGCCTTGAATCTTCAGTGGGCTCCAGAGAAAGATATCCAAGATCAAGCTATGAGCCAACATATTGCAGCAGAACTTTGGGGGAGGGTTGGACTAGATGATCTCCTGAGGTCCCTTCCAACCCTTGCCATTCTGTGATTCTGTGTGAAAGGCACAGATGCAGAATCCATCTGATCCAAGGTTGAGGCATTCAAGGCTTACCCCTGTGCTTACAGGAAATTGTCATGCCCTCTCTGTAGGGCAAGAGTACCCAAGATGAAACACGTGAAGAAGCAAAAAAACACCAGGACTTTTTTGGAAGACCACTGTTGACTGTCCTTAGCGTCAGACTAATTGGAACCTCTCCAGAAGCTATCAGGTTCTTTCTTGCTTAACCTGAAAAGGAAAATCTAAAGAAACTCGACAGTGACAGAAGCAGCTAAGGCCAATGGTGTTTGATGGAGCTTGTGCAAGGAACCAGGACCTCAAAGCACTGGACAAAGAAATCAGTGCAAGCACTTCAAGACAGCAGGGATCAAGAGGTTCCAAGACCTGTAAGGTTACTGAAGTTGATGATACTGGCTGCAAACAGAGCAAGAAGTGGAGGGGAAAAAAAGAAACATTGAGCAAAAATGAATAGACACAGAGCTGTACATAAAAAACATCTAGAGATTAGTACATATAGAGGAACCAAGCTGAGCTGGCTTGCAGCAGTGCAGATATCCAGAGCATCTTCACCGAAGGCTATCAGAGTGGAGCTGGCAGTGTGGAGCTATAGGGGACCATTACATCCTACAGTTCAGGAAGCCCGAGTTATCATTACCAAGGTCTATCCAGTTATGAGCAAAGTGGGTTCTCAGCTTGGTCTAAATGCAGGGAAGCAAATCAATAAGTAGTATTATCAATCTCTTCCTCTCAAAGACAAGACACGGGCTCTTCATATTGTCAATCAATTGTGTAATCAATCACGCCTTTAAACAACTGCTTATTAATGAAATATGAAAACTTTTTTAAGGAATTAGCTAGGGAATAAAGCCTGCTAAAAACTGACTAAAAATAATTTTTCTTCTACAAATATCACTTGTCAAACAGCAAACATACTTGTGTTTTGAGACAATGCAAGTTTATATGTACTTGTCACCTAGCTGACATCAGACACTATCAGTAGCTTTACCCTTCTTGAAGGAGGCTGTCCCTCATGCTCAGTACAGTGATAAAACCTGCTACCTTTGTTATAAAAGAGCAGTGGGTTGTGGGGAGACCTGATTCTCTGTAAGAGACAGATGCCAGCAATAGATAACACAGGTTACAGGTTTCTGGTATGAAGCAACAGCTTCCAAAATTATGTATTGACAGAAAGTAAACAAGAATTCTGTCCCAATAGCATCTTTCTTTTTGGGCTTTACATCAGATTTATTTAGGATTGTAAATTTTCACATACTGGCTGTGCATTTTAGATTGTCTCAGCTCTCATCTGTCAATCAGAAAGAGTCCAAAAATACTTCTACCAGTGGAATTTAATATGAGCGTAATTAATTTAACCCATGCCTATTGATACTGCCTTTGCAGTCACATAACCTTGCTTTCTCTGTGTTAAGGGGGCCAGCTGTATTCCAAGATCAAGCACCCATACAAGCAGAGAATGTGGACAGAACAAACTCAATCATCTAGAGAAGACAGCTTATATATATTTTAGGTATTTTTAATGAGCTTTATTTTAATATACAGTCATCGGTTCTAAAGAATACACCAGGACTGCGATCAGATGAATTACTGGCTCAATGTAAAGATGCCAAGATTTTGTTCCATAATAGAAGATAAAAGGACAACCATATCAAGCAAGGAACAAGATTTTTTCCCCCTAATTTATCACAAGTTTATCAGCAGAATAAGAAAACTTATGGTGATGTAATCTAGGAACAACATTAAATGCCTATATTTAACATACTATAGAAGAAAAGAATCCTGAGATATTAGGCATTTAACATGATTCAACTTTTAAAAAAAATTTAATCTATTCAAGAATCAGCTTTTATATATTTATTTATTTTTACAAGAAGAAAGGACTTACTGTTTAGCATCATCGTCTGCATCATCATCATCTTCTAAATGTGCCACATGTCCCCTAAGAAAATGAACAAGGTACTATGGCTGAGTGAGTTATATTAAAATTACCTTGGCTACTGTGAATGCTACTACCTCTTTTACAGAATTTTACTGTCTTTTAGATTTTATCATTATTATTCTTTAAAGCACAGCTGCAATCCAGACAACTAAGCCTCTCCCACATCCTCTCAGCAAGTACATGGACAAATGAGAACTAGTTGTGACAGACATAAGAAATCAACGAACAAATGACTGAAACACAAAAGAGGGGAAAAAAAAATAGAATTACCGCTGATGCAGTTCTTCTTCAACTGATTTTAAGAGACTCCTTCAGCATTAAATAAGAATAAGAACACAGTTTAATTGTGGCACACAGACTTAATTATTAAAAGCCAGGGCAAATGTTCCTATGATTCTATCAGTAAATAATCCAAAGCATGTTATTTCAGCTGGCTTTCAGGACATACATTGAACATCCACATACAAATGAACATAACTACATTTTTTTAATTTTTTACACAACACATTTTCATATGCATTTTATTAATGTATCGCTATTAAGTGCAGTGGCCCTTGTCCTTGTACTGTAAAACAAGGACTGTCTTAGCTTGATCCAATTTAAAACAAATCCACACTATCCAAGAAAATCATAATCATAAAAAAAAAAATCAGACTGACAAGAGGATTAAACAACTATTGGAACAAATTCATTCTTCCCTAGTTCATTTTGGTAACATTCTGAACTTCTCCATTTTTGCGTCTTTGTCTGAAAACACAGGCAGGGAAGAATAGCAGGCAAAACACAGGGATGAGAAAAAACAGGATTTCAGAGGATAGCAGTATTCCTATTTTCCCCAACTAAAAGACTGAGTAAAAATACCATGTTCTATGCTTAGATTTTCTGCATTTTAAAATATGATTTATTTTAGCAAGGCAAGGCATCCTAATTCTGACACGTATAAATGTAAATTAAGAAATTGGGTGGAAAACAAGAATTACATGGAAAACTATTTCATGTGATTAATACAACAAAATTATTAAATGTATGAACATGAAGTTAAAGGACTTTGCTAAGACAGGTTAAGTTTTATTTTTTGAAGCATCTATAATTGGATGTTCCTAGTGTCCTAGAACATGAAGAAGGGCATAAAGCAAAGAGCAGTACCAACAGTTCCTAGATGGGGTAAAAGTGTGCTCTGTGGGAACTATGATGCAGAATATTTTGTTAACAAGCAGACCAAGATAACAGCTCTTGAAAGGAAGTTTACAGCACCATAAGAGGCAATATGGTCAACACAGCATCAAATACTGAAGAGTGCCGTAATTCCGTATCATTGGAATTAGTATTATTTGGGAAATGAATAGTGATTTTGGAATTGTAACTGATATAAACAAGCTTACATTTTACTACATCCGTTTCAGCTAACATGTTTAACACACATTTGTGATTTTTGTATTAAAACAGTCTTGAATGAATTAAAGACAGAAAATGCCATTGCTTACTCACTTATTTGCACCCAAGAAGTAGCCACATTGAGGACCATGACCATATTCTAGCTGTAGATCCTACAAATGCAAGAGAACAAATCTTTAAGGTGAACAGATGAGCATCAAACACATACACTGTGTCCTGCTGCTGTTCTCCCCCCTGCCACACCTGAGCTACCAAACGAGCTCATTCCTCTGGCCTTTCTGGGCCCTAACACCATTCTCAGGCCCATCGCACCCAAAAATCTCCTCTCTGCCAGTTTGCTGCAACTCTAATTCCTTTTAAAACTCTGACCTTAGCCCCTTACTTGGACACACAGATCCTTTTCTCAGATAAAGTCAGCTGCACAAAAGGAAACAAATCAACAACAAAAGGAATATAATAATAAATTTAAAAAAAAAAAAAAAAAGAGACTGCAGTCTACCAGACCCCACAGAGAACCCAGGCATCCCTCACTGGCACATTACAGTATTAGTTTCAGATGGGGAGTAGTTCTGGCAGGGAGCCTAAAATGCCTTTAGCACATGTGGACGTTAAAGAAATAAGCAGTAGAAGTGTTTTTACAGCTCTGGTTATAGCAATACATATTTTAAGGATAACTGTATATACTTTCATGTATATTTTAAGATCACCTTTTGTATCAAAAAGAAAAATACAATATTAACAGCAAGGTCAAGCACTCAATCAATCATGGAGCATGGGCTACTTAGAAAAAGAAGTGGCAATAGGCATCCAATCCTATTATTCAATAGATGCCATATAGGCATACAAATTTAATGCATTAATGGGAATACAGGGACCATATTGAAGCACCACCAAATCTGCATCTGCCAGGAGGCTACTGCTGTAATTACAGGGTATTTTTTTCTTCAGGTGGATCACAACAGGAACCTGAGAATAAATTTGCTCCCAGAATACTGAGTGCATTCACCAGGAGAAAGTAGTTAGTGATCAGTGTTGTGGTATAACCTCAGTTGGTAACCAAGCCCCACACAGCCACTCGCACTCTCTCCCCTGCCACCAGTTGGGTAGGGGAGAGAATTGAAAGGGCAAAAGCAAGAAAACTCATAGGTTGAAGTTTTGTCAAGTTTGATAATAGAAATAAAATATTATAATAATAATAAAATCCAAACCACAGCACTATGCCAGCTACTA